ACAAACCATGAAGGCAAGAAGAGCATGGAGCAGAGTACTTCAAGTCCTCTATGAAACAAATTCCAGCCCAGGCTACTTCACCCTGAAAAACACTCTTTCAAGTTTGATGGAGAAGTGGAATACTTCCATGACAAAGAACAGCTAAAGAATTTCATAATAACAGTGCCAACCCTACACTCCTGAAAGATGTTCTAGAGAGGGACCAAAATGATCAGAAATCCATGAATGAGGTCAGAAGCAACCAACTAAATAGGGCAAACAATTAAATAGAGGAGAAAAAGGAATAAAAGACAACAGGTAAATAACAAGTAAACTGTAAGTCAATACATCTCATTTATAACCATCAATGTAAATAGACTCAATTCACCAATTAAGAGAATAGACTGGCACCGTGGATTAGGAAACAAAATTTAACAATACACTGTGTACAAGAAGCACATTTAACTCATAAACACATACATAGGCTGAAAGTCAAAGGGAAAATAACACTACACACCCCAGCACCTCAGAAAAAATGTAGGGGTAGCAATCCTATTCTCAGCCAGTCTCAACTTCAAACCAAGAATGATCAAACAAAATAAAGAAGGCCACTATATACTGGTTAGGGGAAAAATTCAAGAGGAAGAGGTAACACTCATAAATATGTATGCACCAAACACAGCAGCACCCAACTATATAAAGCAAATCTTAACGGACATGAAAAATCTAATATTCAATACCACAATCTTAACAGGAGATCTTAACACCCCCTTTATCCAAAAAAGAAAGACCAAACAGACAAAAAAATTAGCAAAGAAATCATAGAAATGAAATAGAGTTGAAACAAATGGACTTGGTGGACATATACAGAGTGTTCCAACCACACACCGCTGAATACACATTTTTTTCAGCTACATATGGGTCGTTTTCTAAAACAGACAATATACTGGTCCATAGGTCATGCTTAAGTTTATGCAAGAAAACAGAAATTATCCCATGGATATTATCTGACCACAATGTAATGAAACTGGAAATAAATGACAACAGAAACCAGAAAAAAACCCTAAATAAATGGAAATTAAATGACACGCTACTCAGCAAACAGTGGGTCATTGATGAAATTAAACAAGAAATTAAACATATCTAAAATTGAATGAAAATTCATCTACAACTTAGCAAAATTTATGGGATGTGATCAAAGCAGCTTTCAGAGGGAAATTCATAGCTGTGAACTCAACATTAGAAAACAGAACAGGAACAAATAAACACCCTA